TGGTCATGTCAGATGCAGCTTTCCAGCAGAAGACAGAAAAATTATGCCCATCACCAATGGACAAAAGTCTGTTAGACAGGCAAGGCTTCAAGACTAGAGGTTTCATTCTGCCCTGGAACATGGTAGTTGGCCATTATGTGCCTCATACTACCATGAAAGTCATCAGCATGCCAGAAAAGCAGGTAAAAGTACTATGGAGACAGTTTTTAAAAACCTGTTTCTTAGAAGCCTGAAATCTCATAGTAAGACTCAGCACTTAGGTTCTGCCTCAGTACCAAATGCAGCAGAAGGCAACTGATGCAACTGCAGTTCTGTCAACCACTGACACATGGGATTCATACGTGGCCCCAAGAAAACATTTCTCAGAGGAATGTGATCTTGCATGAAAGAGACATTCACATCTGCAAACCCAGTCAGTCAAGAAGTTCGTTTTCCTCTGCTAACTTCCTGAAACAAGATAAAACTCCTAAATATATCATCTAGTGGATCACCACTGAGTAACATCTTTTAAGCCCAGCACATAAAAGAAGGCTTTATATGACACCATGAAGGCAAGCAGACCTGGTGATCATTGCTTTCCACTCTCAAAACAAAAGTCAGTTTGAAAAGTGTAAAAAAAAGAACAAACCACTTAGTTATGTGGGGAAAAATGTAGTTCTGTCACATTAAACTTGTACTTGCTATATCATTGATTCAGCAAAGGTTCAAATACTTCACTTCTCAGATTGTGAGAGAAATCCATATTGCATGCCTGTAATGCTTTTGTTATTCTCTAATCCTACCCCAAAACACATAGGCTAAAGGGGAAAAAGAAAGCTCTCAAACAACGGCTGGAAGTGAAACAGTGTTATTGACACCAAGAAAGGAGATGGAAAAAACCACCTCACAACCAAAAACCCACAAGCAACATTATCATCACCTGCTCTCACAGGCAAGAATACTTGTATGTCCTTCTGCTATCCACAAAGTGGCAGAATTGGTCAGTTTATAAATTCAGTGAGGTAGAAGGAAAAATTCTCTCACAACTAATGTCTGCCAATGCATGGGCTGGGTACAAAATTACAGCATCTGACAAGGTAAGGTATGTGTCATAATAAAGGTAAACAGTTTTGTTTATTAATTAGTAAATACCAGGAGTTTTTTTTTCCCACTTACTGCAGACAGTTTGTTTTCTATACAGTGCTAAAGTTGTTGTTTGCAGGAGGATACAAAACCAGCAATACTTAAAATAATTTTGTAGCTCTAAACTGTAGAGTTTAATGCTGTGGAAAACTATTTCGATCCCATAGCACAGAAGTTCACATATTAAAAATTAAACTGCTGTCAATGCATTCAGTGATCAATATGCAAAGCACTCACACTACACACTGTTCTATTTTTATGCTAGGATTCTGGTTCTTGTCTTTATGCTAAGTCACAAAACAAGTAAACTATTTCTTTTGGCATTAGAACTGGGAATCTCAGCTCAGGAAGGATGCAAGTCTTAGGTAACGAAACAAAATTTTCATACTTGTAAGTAAAAATCTGATAGTTTTGGCTTGCAGCAAAGGAGACTCAAATTTGCTATCGCACACAACTTTTTTCCTCTTCCTCTTCCTTTTTTAATCAAGTTAATCTGTCAATTCACCCTCTCTTAAATTGGTTCTGTGAAAGTCCCTTAGTTTACCTTTCTTTCACACCTCAGATCAGCACAAAGTTTAATAGTTCCTGCACGGCAAGAAACATAAGGCCAGATTGGATATCTATCTCACAACATGCTTTCAGTATTTATTCTAATAAAAAGCGTTAACTATGCTTATTTCAGAGTTAATCTAGCCTAGCAATAACATTTGCTACTGAATCTAAACAAATTTGACATGAAGCTTGCATTGCATCTGGACACACAATTATGTGTAGGATGCTTATGCAGGTATGTAGATGACAAAACCTACACTGGGATTCAATGAAGAAATCTTAGAGAAGTCCAAAATCTAGCATACTTAAGTTCACACACAGATTTGTGCTTTTTGCAAAGAGGTTCTACTTACAAACTTTAACTTGCGTGACAAGTCATGCAAGCAATCCCCTCATGTAAGCATCATCATGCTTTTTTTTCCCTGGTCCCTACAGACCACTTCCCACAGACAAGGAACCGTGGCCAAGCTTAGCATGACATTGGGTTAATAGCTTCTAACTAGAACATGAAGAAGCTGCAAAACCCACACACATGCAACAGGAACAAAAAGCTAGAAAACTTGCAAACTTAGCTTGTTTTGCACTGTGCCTCTGACATCTGCCAGTAATTTCAGCTAACAGATTTTTGTACATCCAAAACTTCAACTACCAGAAAACTTGCAAATTACTAACCATCACTGGTACAAAAGGCAGTCAAGAGCTACGAATCTATTAAATAGTCATTTTCTTATCTACAGATACTCAACCCATTTAAAGATTCAACAGAAAGCACCAACTTTGAAGACTCTTAGCTTTTACTTTTAAATGTTTTTCTCAAATCTAAAAAGCCGCAAGTTACCCAGCAGACATTTTCCACAGCTCAGATCAAAGTCTGTAACACAAAATTATTTTAAAAGAAAAAGCAACTTTTTCTCACCACTCCCTGTTCTTAAAATTAATGAGTAAACAAGCAAGAATTCACAATACTTTCCAGCCATATACTACAGCCACATACAGAATGCCATATACTGCATTCTGAATTACTTTAAAGGCCATTTAATACTGTAACTTTCAGGTAAGTATACAAAATACTTAGAACATGGCACAAACATTTATGAACAAGCTTTGTCTGGTTTTTATTCCTTATTTGAAAGATGTTCAAAACAGGGCTGGAAGTAAGAAACTAGATTAGGAACAGGAGAAACAAATATCAAATCTAGAAATTGTGTTATTAAACACTGGGGAGTAATTCTTCCATATGGCTAAAACCAGGGAATTAGCCAGAGCTGGTGAAAGGCTGTGCCAGGAGAATGCAGAATTCATTAACAAGTTTTAAAAAAAAAGATAACTCAAGAATCATTTTCAAGAATACAATATCCTTTAATCTGGGCAGGCAACTCATACAATTAGCTTTCTATGCTACAAACAACCTTCTAGTTCACATCTAAACCTTGCACATTAAACAAAATTGGAAACAAAATCTGAATAAAAATTGGCTTGTGACATGTTAAACTCAATTCCCACTAAACAGAACACAAACATTGCTTTTCTACAATGTCACCACACTTACATGTACTCCCAATCAGGCATATAATTTTAAACCTCAGCATCTACAGAGTCCTACAGCATATACTGATATGCTGATATGTAAGACTTGTTTCAATCATGTAGTAAGATTTGGCTTTGTTTCCCTTCCAAGGAATTTGTGGCACCCTCCACTAGACCAGGTTGCTCAAAGCCTCATCCAGTCTGGCCTTGAACACTTCCAGGGATGGGGCATCACTGGTTAGAATGTCCAATGGCCAAGTGTGGTTTCAGGCTGCAGATTCAAGCTTACTTAAGTCTCAACAAGAAGTGTTACAGGTAAGTCAGTCATTTAAGAAAGAAGGGGGAAAGAAGAGGGGGACAATTTGAGCTGGATACACCACTGCATCTCCTACAGTTGGACAATCTTCTCTAAACTAGAGGTTGTCAATTGCATTTCCCTTCATTTGACTTTCATGCTGCATAAAAGAACTCTCTCACTCCCTTGGGGCCGAGAATTGTAATCCTTGTTTTGTGCGTAACAGTTTAGAATCAGAATGCTTTGGGTCTGAAGGGGCCTTTAAAGACCATCCAGTCCCACTCACCTGCCATGGGTAGGGACATCTTTCACAGGATCAGGTTGCTCAGAGCCTCAATGCAACCTGGCCTTGAACATTGCCAGAGATGAGGCATCCACAACTTGTCTGGGCAACCTGTTCTAGTGCCTCACCACCCTCTGCGGGAAGAATCTTCCTTTTATCTGATCTAAATCTGCCTTCTTCCAGTTTAAAGTCATAATCCCCTTGTCCTATCACTATAGGTCCTGTTAGAAATTTTATGCATAGTGATCATTAAAACCACCTTAAAAAGGGCTTAGGATTATTTGGTTCTCTACCCAACTCCCACCCCCAAAGTAATCTGCATTTATGTTATTCCTGATAAATTTGTTTATAATGTGCTCCTTAAAACTATATGGTTAGTCCATAACCCACCCAACAGTCTGTTTAGCACTTTGTATGACACCACATTAAAAGGTTTTACAGAGATATTTAACTTGCATCTTTCTATTGCTACCCATTGCTTAAAGCTTATGACTTCCTTGCCCTGTTCAACAGATATACAAGTCAGAGATTATTGTGTGTTCTTGCTGGTATCTTTTGAGGTCCCCAGGCAGTCCACCTCTGAAGCACACTGCTCAAAAGCAGACATAGCATTCCAGCTGACACTTGACCCACACTGGAAGAGAAGGGCTATTTACCAAAAGGGAAGGGCTACTTGTTATTAAAGGGAGGGACACACTTTTTACAGAAATTTAAATCAACTGACTTTTAGAAGTTTAATCTAAAATGTCTCCCTAGTTTGCTCGCAAGACTTACTTGAGCCTCAAAATTGTTAGTCAAAATGCATGTTGTTTTCAGCTTCCCTGATACACACCAAAGCTCTAACACTGCAGAACTCCCATTTGACATCAAGGGGAGAAAAACTTCAATTAAAAAACTGGAAGTGTTTTCCTGTTGTCTTATCGGTGCACACACACACACACTTTCATTTGTTCCAAAATTCCTTTGGAGACATACATTGAAATTCTCATATTCCTCCACATTTTAAAGATGGAAAATATGACATTCAGCAATGCAATATGAGAAGTGATAGAAGAGTCTACTCAAGTACTTTGGGCTCTAACAGCCTGCAACTCAACCCCAATGTAAACCCAGTTTCAGTTACTTGATAAGTTACGAATTGGACTGCATTAATAAATCTGATCTTACAATAGCACATAGCATGATGATAAGGGGCAAAATCAGTAATGATCCAATCCCTACCGTTCTCGATTAAATTTGAGTGAATGAAGTATAGCAGGTCTCTTCTGACGCAAGTTCCACAGGTGTAAGGTATCATCAGCCAAGGCACTCACAAGAGCTCCCTATGAGAAAGAAAGGTTTTAGTCAACTTTTCATAACCTAGTAACAGTACATCATCATAGTGCAAATATATTACACATTGGCTAGCAGGATAGAAGAACAGTTATAAGCATGCACATCAACACCACAGCACAGGTAAGCTGTAAGTACTAGAAGTAAGATAACCGATGCTATGTCATTCAGCTGGGTCATGTTTGGTTCAGTGCTGTACTGAGGTGCAATGGGGAAGGAGCAGCTTTTTCCAGTGTGTACACATCAGTTCCCTCATGGCCACTTCTTCAGAGAAATTAAGCAATGAACTCAACTGCTAATATCTATGTGCTGACAAAGAGGAGGTTTGGACTTCACCACTCCTCTGAGCTAGAAGTCCCTCTACAAATCTGTCCCCAGCTAGCTCAAGAACAGCACTGCTGTCAGATCTCAAATGATGCACCCCTAGTAAAGACACACCTGAAATTACCGAGGTATCAGATCAGGGATCATTCCTCAGCTCATGTCAAAACCAGTAGCTATCAAAATAAAATTAACTACCTGATGAAACTATCAGTACTATTTAAAATGTATTTTACTACTTCAAGAGATAATTTGCAATGCTCAGTAACATGAAGAAATATTCCTAGGGAAAAAATTTTTTGCTTACAGCAAGAGTACTCTAGAGACAAAGATATTTTCAGCAGTCAAGAGTTTTCTAAAATTAAAAAAGTTTATCTGTAATTGCTATTACTGTTTGCCATCCATGATGTCACCTGTGTCAGCCAATTTTGATGCTTGCTTAATGAGAAGTTGAAGAAAATACACTCTATCATCTCTGAATTACTGGAACAGGTTGTCCAGAGAGGTGGTAGAAGCCTCATCCTTGGAAACATTCAAGGTCAGCCTGGACAGAGCTCTAAGCAACCTGTTCTAGTTGAAGGTGTCCCAGATCACTGCAGAGGGGTTCAACTAGTTGACCTTTAAAGGTCCCTTGGACACAAGCCATTCTATGATTCCATGAATATGTACATCATTTTACTAACCTCGTTAATCAGGAACTGAAGCTGGATTACTGCAGCTCCACTGTCATGTTGACAGTAGCATTCCACTCCTGGCCGACCAAAGCTGGAATTTGTACCATTAAGGAATAATTGTAGTATGAAACATAGGGAAAAAACACAAACCAAAACAAACACCGTAACAGACATTGAATATGGTATTAGCGATATTGACAAACAGGTTAACATCCTGCTTCTAGCTAGTGCACTCAACATATTTAACCACATAGATCTGATTGATCACCAAAAAAAAAAATCATTCATAAACAACACAAAATACAAGAAAGAAGTTAAAAGGCCCATCTATTTATCCCCATGGAATACACAAATTATGTACAACAGCTCCACTTAAAATTATTTAAGGGACTAAATTACAACATAACAGAGAATGATGAAGCAGTTATTTTAGTAGTGTTAAATATCAGGACTAGTATAAAAGTTAAAAGCGCATCATAATCAACTGATGACATTTTTCAAGCGCTAAAGGAGCTTTTTTCCTCCTTTTTAAACACTAGTTACAGAATAAAGAGCTGAATAATACAAGGCATGTTAAAAAAAAAAAAAAACAACTGCTGTGACAGAGATAAAAAGACCAGTAGACCAAATATGGAGTCGTCAATGGAATCATACATAATCTAAGTTTTCAGGATCTCTGTATCAAGACTTCCTGGATTCACATCAACTATGAGATAGTAAAGTCTTGTTCATCTTCCCTCCCACACATAAAATCAGTCCTATACTTCCATGATGAATATCAAATAGCAGCAGCAGCAACACAAATTTTTTCAATTCTCCATGCTTGATTCATTTGTTCACTGCAAAGATTCTTTATTTCAAATGTAGCTACCCTTTTTCTTCTGACATTAAGGAAATTCTCCAACCTCTAGGAGACAGAGCAGAAATAACACAAGTCCAGATGTATTATTCAAAGCTGTCAGTACTACATCATTATAGTATGCCCAGTGTTCCTGGACCATAATTTGTCAAAGATTGGAACACCTCTTGTTTTAAACAGGCACATTACATCTTAGGAATTACTTCCTTTTTTCAAAAACTATGTAAAACAGCAAATATAATGTACAATTTGTGCTCTCAGTATATATTAGAAATTAATAAAACAGTACAATTCTCACCCATTCCTCAAGTTTTCCACTTACTAAGAAGCTGTTAATCAGAATTAAAGTGGATACAAATGTTCTTAAAAATATATGCATATACACTAGAGACAGTTGAAAGGTGATGAGATTATTAGGTTGCATGCAAATCAACACGCAAGCACATCTGCTCAGCCTCTAAGGTGGTGAGATAAAGGGTAAGTAGAACAACAATGGGAACAAGTCTGCTTCAAAATACCACAATGTTTTAACTTTTAAACTTCAATCACATTCTTCTCCTTGACTAATGAAGCTGCATAACATCCAGCTAAGTGATGAGATATACTAAACAGATGTTGAATAATCCAGCAAATTTAATACCAGCTTTCTTCCCCAAACAGAATTAGTGATTTCATTTTGTCCTGGCATGGAAGGGCTTAAAGAACCAGCTTGCCTCAATTGAAGGTTTGCTTTGTTTTTTTTTTTCTTCTTTCTCTCTTTCCTCCTTTTATTTTAACTTTTTATCAATGCTTGCTATACAAACAAACAAAAAAGTTATGTGAGTTCCACTGGCAGTTTACAGCTAAAAAAAGCTTACAAATTTGGGGGGAGGCATAAATGACACCTTCCTACACAAACTCAGAATATTTTAAATGCAAAATCATTGCTTTTGCAATAACTATGAAGGGACAACATAAGTTGTCAGATTGGAAAAAGTATTCCCACAAGGAATACCAGAAGTTTCAGAGCAGATCTGCTTCAGCCTTGCTCATGCTTCTGCATTCATTTGAACTAGTAATTATTTGCAGAAATAGAAAAAAAGCAATTCAGATATTCACAGAAATCAACCTTCAAAACTTATTTATCTGCACTGACACAGGCAGTTTCCTTATAGAAGACCGCCCCTGCCCTCAACATCAGCTTCTATCATAATTAAATATACCCTTCATACATTCACCCACACAGAGTTTATTTGTAATTTGAGGTATTACCTTGCCTCAAAACGAGACGACTATGACCCAGAAAAGCCCATGGATTCCTCAAGTTACTCTAACCTTCAAATTTTATCCCTCAAATGTTTTCTTTAAGCACTTCTGATGCAAATATTTCTGGAAGAACTCTTATAACTAGTCAGTAAAAATTTCAATATTAAGAATACTTGAAGTTTTCTTTAAACAAAAATCTTCTTGCATTTTCCAGGGCACCTGAACCACGTCTCTCTCCAGAAATCTGTAAATATGCAGCACTAGGAGTAAGTTTATACAAGATTTAAACATTCAGAGCAAGTTTCTTTCTTGACAAATTAGTGGAAGCCTTAGATGCAGATTTGAAAACAGTTTGGCCTCTTTTACAGTGCTTACAGTTACAAAAAAAAAGTGCTTGCAGATAGTCCCATTTAGTGCCTTTACCCAAGGATTATGTCATCTTCACTTCTTCACCTAGTAGCTAAAATTATTCTTCTCATCTCAAATTAATATCATCCTCCTAACCAGCATTAATCTTCTTTTCTAAAGCAATGCAAAGCCTCTCAGTTTTCCAGGGTATGCAGAGTTGAGAAAGCATGCCACTCAAATACCAACTGTAGAAGAATAATAATACATGCCTGTTTCAGTACACGTTAAGCATTTTCCAAGCACATAAAACAGGCAGCATCCCAGGGAATGCAGTGTGTCCAAATCCTCTGTACTTGTGTACGTGTGCTTAAGGCAAGAGCTCGCTGTACTAAGCGGTGATCATCTACTATAGTTGTCCCAAAACAGGCAAAAATTATAATGAATAATGACAAGATGGGGAAAGCATTCTAATTGTGTAGACAGGAAAAACTCTCTGTCAAAGACCTAGGGTAGTTCTAGAGGAAATAGTCTGCTCTGAGCAGTTTTCTAATCAAAGACCCATCCTTCCTTCTTCACTTTCAAGAATTTCTTTCTACTATTGCTACTTCAACCCCTATTCCAAATATTAACAAATGGGATAAATTAATAGCTTCTTAGTGTACTTTTGAATATTGTTTCCGTATTCCCCACTGCCATTAGGCAAATGTCCCTGGAAAACACTAGTAATTCATTGTCTTCACTGCATGATTTTTGAAAAAGCAAGTAAGAGACAGAAGCTGTGGCTGGAAGAAGGAAGAGATAACGTACTCATGTGCTAACATCAGTGGTTATTTTCTGTAAGTGCAGGTCATACGTGAGAACAGTACAGTATCACACTAATTTAATATTACATAGTGACACAGATCTTACTTTGATTTGTGAGGAAAGGCAACAGTTACAAGAGATTTTGGTTGGTTTTTTTCCAAACAAGCTTCGGATTTGAGCTTACACTTTCTTTCACTAGGAAAAATTAAAGCATTCCTATTAGTGGTATGCTAGTTCCCTCAAAAAATTTTTGAAAATTACTATTATTTATAATACTTATCTACATAGGAGAAACTCCATGCATACCTGCTCTTAGAATTTACCTTTTCAAAGAGAAAACCAGTTCCAGAATATTTATGAAAGCTTCATAAGAGCAGTCTTTTTTTTTTTCCTCCAATTCTTACATTTAAGTTACTCTCAGTAGGCCTAAGGAATATTGGGTTCTTCACCTGTGGTTGACCCATTTGACATTTGAGACAGTTGCAAAAACTGTAGCTATCAATTCAATCCCTAGTATAAGTCAGTTACGTATACAGAGACACATCTACTACAAATATTACCTTCCAAACTAATCAACACACATTTTCGTCTTCACATCATTACACTGCTATAAAAAAAGCTTTGAAAGTACAGCACAAGACATGGACCATGATCCTGTATCAGATTTGCCATTGTCAACAATAGCTCGAGATTTTTTAAGACAATCTAAAAGTGTAACAGCTTTTAAAAGACATACTAGATACTTCTCAAAACTGTAACAGACCACAGTACCTAAACAATTGACACCAAAAATAGATCTCTGACTAGAGGAAAAACACATACAACTGACTTGTATTCCATACAACACACTAAGGACAGTAGATTACTCACAGTATTCCTATGCACACAAGTCTGTAGCAAATAGTTCTCCAAGACTGCATATTATACCTGCATGTTTTACTACAGACATTGCTATGTAGCAGTTTTCCACTTTGCTGCCTATAAAAATAATTAAGGGTTTGATTAAGTAAAGCCAATTCTTATTTTGCCCACACTTTTGTAAGTGCTTCAGTTGTGGTCCCCGAGAATTATCAGAACACAGGAAAAAACCCCATGTGATGGTAAGATTTCCAAGAAGTAATTTAAGTATAGAAAGGTTAAAAGCCTGTCTGGTATTACCCACCATTGCCAAGTCTGGATACAACCCAACAACAAACAAAACCAAGGACTTAATTTACATAAAGCTACAGAGAAACAAAGTCCCAGTGATACACCTAGGTAGGACTAAAGCAGTACAAGAACAGCTTCACACAACTTTCCTAACCATTAGTTCATCCTATCAGCACCTAGACCTAATCAGTACTATTACTTGCATGTGCAGAAGTATGATCTCCCACAGAAACAAATCTCATAAGGAGCAATCTATCAAGACACAGCTATTTAGCAAGAGTTGTTCAAAAAGTCAGAAAGTACTACAGTCACTGTTAACAAAACTAACTTTGACCTTCCACAAAAATATATTAGCAAACAAGATAAAATAAAAATCCACAAAGTATTTTTGAGAGTTTTACGCTTCATACGAATATGATATGATATCATATCACTATTTTTGAACAACTTTAGGATTATAAAATTTCCTTCTAAAGCTTTAGGCCTGCATAGCATCTTAGTCTGTTTATATCACTCAGCCAAGTGGATCTTTATTCCTCCCCATGTCTCAGTATTTATGTATGCAAAAGCATACAACAATATTTGTTAACTTTTCAGATCCACTTTCCTACACGTAAATAACAGCACCAAGCAAGACCAAACTAGGGCTTTGAAACTGACATTAAAGTTTGTCAGGTGGAAATACT